TTAGGGTTTAGGGTTTAGGGTTTAGGGTTTAGGGTTTACGGCGCCGAGCTGGTCTGGAATGAAGTCAAAAGAAAGACAGGGCCAAGCCGTCTGCAGCCTGTGGAGAAGTTCGTAGGCGCTCGAGTCGCACTCCAGCACCTCGCCTGCCACACAAACCCTAAACCCTAAACCCCAAACCCTAAACCCTAAACCCTAAACCCTGGTTCTAAACCCTAAACCCTAGGCCTCAAGGATGAGCTGCAGCTACACGCACCTTCGCCAAGGGTGTCCACGCCCGGCCGCCACATCTGCAGAGGTAACACAAGCAGCAAACCGTAGATCCTAGACCCTAAACCCTAAACCCTAAACCCTAAACCCTAAGCCCTACCTTGACGGGCTGTTCGTTCTCCTCGTCTTCGTCCGTTTGCATTTCTGCTGCGTCGGAAACGTCGCTCCATTCATCTTCCTGGTCTTCTGCTGCTGCTGCTGCTGCTCTTTTGCTGCTGCTGCTGCTGCTGCTTTGCTTCTTCTGCTGCTTGCGCAGCAGCTGCTGCAGCTGCTGCTGCTCTTCTTCGTCCAGGTCATCGCCGTACGGGTCTTCAAACTCTAGGCCATTTTCCTGTGGCACAAACCCTAAACCCTAAATTCTAAACCCTAAACCCTAAACCCTAAACCCTAAACTCCAGGGAATACGCCGCACCCCAGACCCTTCGTCGAGCGATTCGAGTGCATGGCCGAGGGTTTAGGGTTTACTTAGGGTTTAGGGTTTAGGGTTTAGGGTTTAGCTCTCAGGGCCTCGAATTTTCCCATAATTCTTGGTTTTGGGCTTGGCGGTTTAGGGTTAATGAAGGCTTTAGTGTGTACCTAGGGTTTAGGGTTTAGGGTTTGTGGCTTAGGGTTTAGGGTTTAGGGTTTAGGTAGGGTTTTGGGGTTAGAGTTACTAATTCTTTCTCGGGTTCTTCCTCTGCCTCCGACGCCCGCTTGCATTTGATTCCTTTTTGTCGCTGCAGAAGCAAACCCTAAACCCTAAACCCTAAA